AGGGCAGTGTTGGTTTCGGCAAAAGGGCCAGGCAGCCCCACGGGGAGTCCTCGCCCCATCTTGTGCCCTGGAAAAAAGAAAGGTGCTTTGATGCGTGCTGCGGCCAAGGAGAGGGCTTCGACAATGGGAGATTTCGATTGGTCCGCCCCATGCTCTCGTGCCCACCGGCGCAACGGCCTGGCAGCGCTCTCGTAGCGCGGACGAGGACGACAAGGCGCGACGAAAGCATGGGCCTTGATGAATCCTACAAGGCCTAGAAGCAGCAATGGTGCCTCCAACCGCCCAAGGGAAAAGGCGATCATGCCCGCTGTGAGGGTCGGAGAGGAAGGGGAGGAGCCATGAGTGCGACCACGTTGTCGAAGCGGATCCAGTTTCGGATCGACGTGTTCTTCTTCCACCGTGCCTTTGAAAGAGCTTCCCTAAATATTGTGAGCACATCGCTATCGTCAGGTCGGCGCGGGCTCGGGACCGGGGGAAATCGAGCAATATAGAAGTCCCCCTAGTTCACGGCATTGGTAAGCTCGGCTTCCGATGTGCCAAGTCGATTTCTCGATGCCATGCCCATTGGTGTGATACATCGAATTCTTGAACAGGCTTTTTTTACACCGCACTTTTAATCACAACGAAGAGCGCTTGTTTCCACACACTTCATTCGAGGCCTCTCTCCCCACAGTCTGCAAGACGTGTCCCCAGACCAACTCCGCAACCCTGTCCACGTCCTCCATCAGGACAAAATGGCTGGCGTTTGGCACCACGAAAACCTTCGCTCTCGCCCCCATCATTCCCACCAACGTCTTGGCTGCATCGGCACCCGAAGTAACAGCCTGGGTCGCGGAGAGCACGGCAGGCATGTGCTCCGATTTCTCCCCCGCTATAAATGTCACGGGACGAGCCTGTCCAAGCTGGTGGAGCTGCGGCCAGACACTGGCGCCAGAGCCTGTGTAGTAACCAGCCTCAGTCTTGGGTTTGCATTTCAAGACAATTTCCACGCTGTCTCGATGACTTGATGGCTCGCGAGCAGAAGGGCAGGCTGTCAGGTCTTCGTCGTGAGAGGCGTCGGTGAGGGCCCTTTCCTCCATCCCTCCCTCCAGGTAGGCATCCAGTGCTCTGGAATCCCAGCGTTTGAATATTGGCCTTCGTTCCATGTACTCCCGGACAGCTTCCCTCGAAGGCCTAGTGGGCAAGAATGTATAGAAAGGACGCATTCGAACTTTTATTCACCCCTAGTCTGGGGTCTGTGCAAGGAGAAAAGAAGAATACACATGCTGCAAGCTACACTCCAGCTTCATCACAAGCAGATGTGTTGATAAAACCGAGGAACTGCCGTGATAGTGTGTTGATTTCTCCTGATATGATGAATGGGATTCTTACCACGATGCACGTCGCCGCAACGCTCGCTCTGAAAGTGATTTCGTCATGGTGCTCTCTCCGCCCACAGGCACTAAAACAGGCTCTATCAAAACCAAACCCATAGAAAACATGCCCGGGTGCGCTAATTCCACCAATGTCATGGCCGAAGCCCCCAGCGAGTGCCCCACGCCAATGCACGGCGTCCGCCCCCTTTGGCCCATCTCCTGCAACATTTCCATCACATCACTGCCAGCCCCGTTTCGCCAGTCGTAGCGGTCGTTTCCCAAAGGATGTCTGCTGTCTCCATGGCCTGTGAAGTCAAAGGAGACAAGTATAAGGGGGGACCGCAGCCCTTTATGCGCCTGCCACCGCCTTTCAAGGTCCTCCCAGACTGGAAGGAAAATCTCCTTATTAAATCCATTGGCATGTCCGAACAAGATCGTACAGGGCTCCGACGAGTTGGATGTGCTACATGAAGGCAAGGACTTCATCAAGTAAGCCAGACCATCGCGCGTGGTTCCTGTTGTATGGGAGTATGTGTCAAACATGAAGCCAGGGGGTACCAAGTACCGTCCGATCGAGCCGCAGACTCCCAGCAACTTCCTATGAACTTACGTCTCTGCACCTGCAACATGGTGAGTGAGCGCCAAGGGTGTCCTCCAGTGTGCGACAGTAGTGTGGCCGTCTTCGAGACGAATTTCTTCCCTGCCGTGGGTTGACCTGCCGCGTTAAGTTGGTAAAGATGCAATATGACGTGAAGACAGCGCCCGCGGAAGGGGTCTCGCCAAGGCCACAACGTCTTCGGCTTCGATCCCATCCCTCGGGACCCTCCCCCCGCACGCTGGCCGACGCTCACTCCACGAACACACGCAGGAGCATGTCTTCGATGGCTCGACAAGAATGTGTGTGACGAGATGGATGGAGGTGTATCCACACAGGCTTGAGCGTTGTTCATGCACTCGGGGCGATGGCTTCTTTTTTGCCCGTCCCTCTCAATCCCTCGCACCACAAGCCACGCCATCGCAACGAGGAAGAAACAGTATTAGGAAAAATCGCAAGCACGCCGTGCCCACCCCTACACCTGCAATGGGTGGCTGAAGCCGAACGTAAGCGCAGACTTCCTGGCTGGCGGGCGACGGAAGACTCGAGGGCGGACGCCGGAGGCAATGCATGTTCACCTGCTCGCGGAAGAATTCGTGCCCACTTGGGCAAATATAGGGCGGGGAGTCCACTGTCAAGCAAGCAGCTGAAACTGTAATGCATGTGATCGATATGAGACGATCACCCTTTCACATTGTTCTGCGTGTCATTTTTAGGGCTTTGGTCAGGGCTGATATAGCCGTGGGGTCAGAGTTGCCCGATTGCCCTTTGTCGCGCGTTCTAGCCTCATTTTGGCAGGCTATATGTGCATCCCATTCGTTCGAAGGCCTAAGAGAACACTCTGCGCCTCTCGAAGAGACTATTAATCGCTCGTAGGACTGTCAAATCTTGGCACGTGCTCTTTTAGCCTTGGTAGAGCAGGTCCGCTCTTCGGAACTATTTCATGAAAATTGCGAGGACTGAGCATCATCCTGCTTTCTCGTTCAAAACCCTGTCTGGAAGGGCCGCACGAAGTCGTTCAAAAGCTATTCTCTCACAAGTATCCTCCCACACTCTCGGAGACAGGACCCTCCCCGCCCTGCTTAGGAAGACCCCGGAACGCGGCCTACCCTGCCCCGTCCCCCACCTTCTTTCACGCCCTCGGTCGTCTTGGACGCTGTGTCATCACGAGCTGGGTGTGCAAAGATGGCTCGACAAGAAAACCCGTTCGACATGCAGATCAAGCTGCTGATGATAGGGGACTCGGGGGTGGGAAAGACCTGTCTGCTCCTGCGGTATGCGAACGACTCGTTCTCGCCCACCTTTATCACCACCATCGGGTAAGGGATATAAGAGGGAGGGCTTTGGCAGGGGTGGCGGATAAAGAGCAACGCTTCGGTCGCGTAAGACACGCTCGGGACCCTTGCGCATGACAGCGCGAATTAAGTTCCGTTTTGAAGTCTGACGTGTGAACGCTTTTCATTCAGCGTCTCCGTAATGAGGTCAAGTACGTACTCCTACCAATTTAACTGCCCCAGCGCTCATCTCTATCTGCTTCCCTTCCATGCTATTCCTTCTCGTCAGCATTGACTTTAAGATCAAGAATTTGGAGCTAGACGGGAGGCGGATCAAACTCCAGATCTGGGACACAGCGGGGCAAGAGCGTTTCCGAACAATCACCACGTCCTACTTCCGGGGAGCCCAAGGCATCCTTCTTGTCTATGACGTGACGGATCGAAGATCCTTTGAATCCATTCGTAACTGGGTCGGTCAGATCCAACAGCACGCGGATGTGCACGTGAATAAAATCTTGATTGGAAACAAATGCGACATGACGCCGCAGCGGGTGGTGTCCACGGAGGAAGGCCAGAGCCTGGCGAACGACTTCGGTATTCAATTTTTCGAAACGTCAGCGAAGAATGACATTAATGTGGAGAAATCGTTTGTAACGATTGCGCGGGAGGTGAAGAACAGGATGTTGGTGGACGGAGGTCCGCGGGCGACGGGAGGGAAGGCGATTGTGGACGCGAAGAGGTCAAACGAGGCGAAGAAGTGCTGTTAGGCCCATAGGCTCACATGTCGGGCTCATGTGGCGCGGGAAGGGTCTCGGGGATGGAACGAGGGGGTTGGGCGGCATGTACGGTGTGGCGGTAGAGGGAGCAACCGGTTGAGTAGGGCAAAACGTGTGACGAAACGCTACGTACGATATAGCGAAGGCGCATGCCTCCCATGTCTGTGTTTGGGTGCGGGGCGAAAAGCGACGGGTTAAAGATGAGGGGGGGGAGCAAAGAATCCTTCGAGACCAGTGGCGGCGAGCCATGAGACGAAGGGTTTTACCATCCCAAGAGAAATTTGACAATTCCCAAGGGCATCCATAAAGGTCATTGTTGTATAGGCGGACGTTCCCTTTTTCGAGGTTTACTTATGGCATCAGCACTATAAAGGACATGGGAACTCGGAAGATATTGGAAGCAAAGAAGGAACCTTAGGTTGTAGACGAATAGATCCTAGACAAAGCGAGGGTTTTCTTTATTGACAGGTTTGAAGTGAAGATGATCGCTCCCTTCAATCGTCTTCCAGTACCGCGGTCATGCGCTCGATCATTCGCTTCGCTTGATCCAAGTTGGCGGGCAGCACCTTTCGAACCGTGGGCCTCCCGGGCACACGAAAGACGAAATTGAAGGTGTTGGAGATGGTGCTGTGCACTGTCTCGGGCCGACAGATGGACGCCACGACCTGGACATGCACGTGGGGCGAGCCCGTTTGTTGGCCTGTGTGCGTGTAGAGGACAGCAGCGTCAAAACGCATCAGGTCTCCCACATCTACGGGACTCGTGAAATCGACGTGCGCCACCTGGAAAAATTCTGGTCGACTCCCCGCAAACAGATAGCAAGTGGAATACGCGATTTCATAAGCTCTTCTCATCAAAAAACCACCAAAGACACGATTCAGCATATTGCGTTGCTGAGGCTGCATTATGCTGGAGTTCGATGCCCGTGTGTTATCCACCAAAACGCATGTAGGGTCCGCAAGGCAAGGCATTTCCATCAAAGGGCGCGCTTGACTCAACAACAATTTTATCATGGTCTCTACGTCCACCGCTCCCGATTTTAGGGACGGGCTGCCTTCTGTCCCTTTTGCCTTGCGCACTGTCTTACGGCGTTGATTTTTTTGTTCCACTGCTGAGAATGTTTCCCTCTCTGCGGCACTCTCCGGCTTCAACTTGTTGATGGCCGTTGCTTTAGCCGTCTGAGGGTGCCGGGCTACAAATGTGAAGGATGCACTTATCCAAGGCTTGGCATCAGGCAATGCATGCACCTCTAAATCTATCTGCATGCTTGAAGACCCTGTCCATACAACTCGCCCCGTCATCTCCATGTCGCGATCCAATTTAGGATTGCTCGAAAGTCTAATCCTATCTACACTTGCCGTTACAAGCAATGGAACCTTGCCGTCCTTTTCGCAATGTTTAAAAGCAACGTTCCCAGCGAGTGCGTCCATATCTTCCAAGAGCTTTCCTTTCCGGAAAAATCCCCAAGGGTTTTCGTAGCTTTGAGACAGAAAAGGTTCCCGAGTGAACTCATACGTCACAGACGTTTGGGATTCGCTAGGGGTTCGCTCTACAGGCTCCGTCGGAGAACGAACGTCTATCTCTAATTCCTTGCCAGTTGCTCGTTGTGACCACAGGTGCGTGATAATAGGCGACTTGAAGCGACCAAGCCCGCTTGTTTTTTGGGCGTACCCAGCCGCCGACGAAAGAGGACAAGTGGTGGGATAGTTGATGAGATGTGGAAGCGCCATTTATTGCCTGTACGCGGAAGCTTTTTGGCCACCAAAGTTGGCCACAGGCGTGACATGTGGCTGTATAAAATTTCAAAATTAGTACGCGTTTGATGTTGTGTTAAAATGTGAGGTGTGTTGTGTAAGTGCCGTCAACGCCTATGCTTAACGGCCAGGGAGCCGTTGGGCGTGTATCATTGCCGGGTGAACTCACATTAGAGCTGAGAGACAAAAGACAAGAAATGTGCAAATGTCTCTGCGTGATTGATTCTTTCTCCCGTGCGCGCGTATGCAAGGCCACACAGACATGTTGGCAGGAGTCTCGCCCTCTCGTGCCACCCGTCCCGTAGGTATAAGTAAAGGTCCTTATAGGTTGACGGTACCCACATGAAGAAGAAACGCACAGAGGAATACCGAATACGTAAAACTATGACAACGCCTTCTCTCCCAACGAAACGTTCATACTCCCCTGGGTGCATCCCGCCGGGTGGTACCCCCAGCTCTGCCCTGAGCAGCGGCCGTCAGGGTAAATCCTGGCATGGCATAGTGCATGGCGAGGCAACCACTATGAGTAATAATGCTGCCGTGCCTTCGCTTGCACGTCATTTGCGCGCTTCACACACCTCTGAAGGCAGAAATCAGCATGCATCGAGAAATCAGCATGCGTCCGTGAGATGATGATAGGAAGAAGAGATGGTCTTTTGATGGTTGTCCAATTATCGATAAATTTCACAAATCACCTGTCTCGACCTGGTATCCTTCGTAACAAGGCTGCCACGCTTGCATATGTGTTGCCAAAATGCATTTATGGGCAACAATGGAAGCATTAAAACCCTGCATATCCCATGCCGCGTGAATTCTTCGCGGGTGTAATTTCCGGCGAGGCGCGTGTGTCAGTCAGTGGCCACATTTATGGATGCACAAAGGGAGAGGCTATAATGATAATGCAAAGAAGAAAGTACTCGTTCGACAACCCGTTGCTAAATGACGTTGCATTGGTCTTTCTTTATATCTTACAGTGAGATGGCGGCTAGTCTGACAGCTAGTTTTTCTTCTCCGATGCCATTTTTTACATGTTCTTCATGGACCTGTTCGTGCCTCATTGCATTATATCCATTCATGTGGTGAATGTGACGCTGCCGTTGTCTCTCAACTTTGCGACAGCACTTCCGCCACTTCTTTCCAGATCGACACGGACACTGACCGCCCCTTTTCAAGACTTTCTCTTCTGTTGCCCGAGGCTCGTCACGGTCAATACTGCCGTCCGACTCATCGCTGATATCTGCCATTTCCTTGCGCGTCTTTCTACGTAATTCATCATCTTCGTCACCTCGCTCTTTGATCTCTGCACCCGGTATCGATTTTCCCTCCCGTCGATGTGGCGCCAAGGAAGGTGAAGAAGAGAAGGATGTGAGTGTTGAAGTTTTTGACGTCGAGAGGGGTAAGGCAGTCAGAGCCAGAAAGGGCTTTGCAGGATCTCCCATCCGGCAGGGATCATCCCATGCACGAATGCTGTTATAATGAGAAGCGCCGTGGAAAGATAGATGAATGGTTGGCGCGCTAGCTTTGAAGAGAATTTCAAAGCGTGGGCAGTCTAGCTGATGAATGACTACGTTGACGTGAAAACAACGACTGGCAGCACATATCTCTTGCTGACCTCCCCACTCTCCTTCGTTCCGCATCCTATGTACATAATCTGAGAATTTCTCGTCGTCCTCCACAAATGGCGCAAAATCTGTTTCATGTGCTTCTATGAAGTCGATGACGTGTTGACGAATTTCCCCATGATCCTCGGGCCGTCCCCGCAATTGGTCAGCCAAAGCTCGAAAGAGACAATTTCCGTCTGAGTCCATGGTCAAAATTCGTGCACCAAGATCCTCGACATGTTGCATAAACCTTTGCTCCTCGTCTTTGTCGAATCGCTTTCCTTTCTGTTTCTGGAATGTGTGTGCGCGACGTTGAAAAGGCGGGTTTTGTGTCGAAGCTTTCAAGGTAAGAAAGTCCTACATCGCTCCAGATTTTTGAAAGTTGACACTCATGGAAAGTCGTAAATTGCTGTAAGGTGCAGGAAGGTCGTTACCTGTTGTTTTCCTCCATTCCAGCGACCCTCGGGCGCCGTTATGTACTCGTCCTTACGACTGTGGCTACCCATATTTCCTTTACGGCGGACAAGTCCTGGGCCTCGCTTCCCCATGTCGGCTATCACAGCAGGAGAGCGGCAGGAAAGCTCAGCTTTGAGCTCGAAAAGAAAGGCTGAAGATGGAGACTTGGAATTTATCAAGATGTTTCTGAGATAAATCAGTCAAATTGTCACATACTTGCGAATACGACTTCCATAATCACGCCCTGTTTATTTGTAATCGTGTGTGTGGACGATTGAGAGCTTTACATAAAGCACTTTTGGAAAAAAAGATGAGAAATTATGGCGATGCCATGCACGTGCACGGCGAGCTCTCGTGACTCTGCCAACTTGAGATATCTGAGGAGCAGAAGCCTCCGTTGAGCGCCTTTTAAAGACGCATGTTTATGCTATAAGAAATATGCCTTCGACCACATATTCCTTGGAGTAACATATATTCGTAAAATTTCTTCGTATCACACGTGTTTAACCGCATACGCAAAAGTAAAGATGTAGTTGTAGCTACCACTTAATCTGCTGCCTCGCTACCCGACTTGCTTTGTTCAAGCCGCCACGAAAATTGCACGATTTGATACTTACCGGAATCATGCCAAGATATGGCTCGTTATAAGGCTGCCTTAATTATCTCAATCTGATTGGTACTGATTTTGCTCGCTGACTGGAAACTGCCATCAGTTCAGGCGCCATACAACTTTGCTCCTATCTCTCCTGTTTTTTTAAATAACCCGTGACTAGCATCCCTATACGCATCATTTAGCACCAAAAACCATGCACGCTTCTAAGAAACATGTAAGTCATTCTTTAATAACTCTATACGGCTGGTTGACTCCGACCATCAGATTACAAGCTTGAACCATGCCAGAACCCCGCTAGGCTGTCGTATTATTTTTTGTTTCATTTCTAGGACTTGAGCATCCTGTGCAGCTCTATGGACGATACGAGAAGGACGAATTTTACAGGGGATTCGCTCACACTCCTCTGCTGTCCAGAGGCGATATGATGCTCGGTTGGTTTTACCGTAGCGGCGCAGTTAGAATTGCCACAACGACTTAATGTTATTCCACTTTCAGTTTCGAGAACGCAGTCAACCTTCTGCTGCCATAAAAATAAACCGCATTATTTTCCCCCCCAGCGCATAGCTTTTGTTTCGCAGATACCTGGAGCTGACCCTGTTCCCGTCCAGCGCTGTTTTTTTCACACTGCCTTTTCTGTTGTAATTTAAAATCTTAAGGCAAGAGCTGCACAAGTCTGCCATTTTATCGACTTTCAGCATCGTCCATGATTTTTGGGGGTTGCAAAGTGCGGGGAAAACGAATTTATCCTACAAGGTAGGTGCACATCTTTGAACGATGCTACTGAGCCAAAAGCAATCGTGCGACCGAATATCATGAATTCAAAAGATATCATTAAAGTAAGAGATGACATTACGAATCTATCTTAAGGTTAAATATTTGACAGTGTCACGACATCTGTGAGCTTCGGCAAAATTATTGATAAAAGATGTCTTAAGTTCGAGATGGATATTTAGCAGGAGAATATGGCTAGCCATGTTAAACTGATTATCACTGCTATAGATTTTTTCTTCTTGTTGTTGAGCAAAAGATTGTCTCGTAAAAGTAAGTCCTACCTCCTGCGCGAACAGCAGTTGTGGCTCTTCGTTGAAACGATTTTAAATTTATAGCGAGCTGGACAAGACGGAACAGGAGTCTCACGTTCCACATCTGAAGCTCTCTAAAATGGATCGAATAGCTCTTCAAGGCTTTTGATACGAATGAGCATGATTAATATTTCCCAATCGCTTATGTGCTTTGGAAAAAAAACTAAATGCTTCTGTATACTGGGTGTTGCAAGAACAGGTGACGGAGGGATCAGCTAGCCTTCGTAGTTGTTTCATTGAGCCTGTGAGGATTGGTTTTGAGTACCTACCATGATACACGCAAGAGAGTTTCGCTGGAAACGCTTTCCATCGAATACAAAGAGACTTTTATCTCGACTTGGAAGATTGCTGCCTTTCTGTGATCGTCCTCCAGCCGTGTGGGATAGTGTCCGTTCTCAGGGTAGAGGGTTTTTAGTCGGTTGATAATCCTTTTGGTGGACCACCACGAGATCTAGCGTTTCATTCCGATCCGAAGCATAAATTACTAGATTCCGTCACATTTCTGAGATATGGATTGGATGCATTCCGTAACGATAGGGGCGTCAATCCAGGAGGTAAATCAACCTCCCCTACCCCACCTTTTTGAATTTTCGAATCCCTGCCTGTCCAGAAACACCATATGCCATGCCCCATCAGTGAGTGAGCTACAAGGTAACCACCCGTGCCACCCTTCAACATGAGAAGAAACCTTGAGATTTTGAAGAATCAAATTATCACCAAATTCGAGATTTAAAGATGTGCATATTTTCACCCAGGCATGCTGCCTTCAGCATCACTTTCGTCTCGACATGGCGGCCATGGACCTCTAACATGGACACTCAGAAGCTTACGATCCCAACGAC